GAGATAATTTTAGCAAACTGCCAATGCGTCCCAAGGGCTAGTGGTGGGCTCTTCTTACTCTGACGAACCTATAACAACAAATTTAATATTCGCCTTCAATAAGAGGGAGGTTTCCTCAATTACAATAAGTTAAATGGAGCTCTTTTTAGGTGAAATTTCGTACTTCTTTATTTGCAGTGCCTCTCGCGCCTTGCGCCGGTTCGCGGACGCGGTCTGGCCGCTGTTCTAGCCGCTGTTCTAGCCGCGGCGATGCTACAAGGTGAGGGTTGACCACCGCACCAAATAGCCGGCAAGTCCTAGCAGCCAGTTGGCCCGCAATCTATCTGGCTCGTCAATTGGCCAACCTGGTCCATTCTCAAAATCGATTCTGTACAGTACTGTAGCAAGGCTCTCTACCCCTTTCCGCCGCAGTTGCTCGCCACCACCCCATATCACCTTATTAGATTCGACATCGACCGGCCTCAGCAGCCGGCTGATGCGGCAAGCCCGCGGGCTGCGCTGCGGGTCGTCATGGGCGACCCAAAGCATCTTCAGTGTCGTCCAATGTCGTTTTGCAACATTGACCAACCTCCGTCGGACTCCTTCCCCGTATCAGTTTCTCAGTTTCTGCAGAACAAAGCCCTCCCAAACCACCACCTTCTTGGGTGAAGGGTGATGGGGCAATGGAAGAAGAGCAGCGTTCTTTGTCAGGGAGCACTCCGATCGCTCCCCGGGGAAGACCAGGGCGTATGAAGAGGGGGGGGGGGGTATCGTAAGTTGCCTACATACAAGGGTTTTGTAGGTCAAATTGCCTACCTTTCGGCGTCTGTCTGTGGACCACCACGATCGCCCCTCCCCTTAAAACGCGCCTGATTCAGACACCACTTCGCTCCAGACGGTGGGCGGCGGCCCGGGGCCAGGCGTGGACTGTTCGTGGGCTACACAGGGTGGAAAGGGGGGGGGGGCTCTCCGTGGACTTCTCGAGGGGACTGTCTGCTTTACGGCTGTTGACCGCCGTTTCCTAATTAGCCGCAGCTCTTTGGTCCTTATCAGCCGGTCGGCTCAAAGTCTCGCTGAGCCGAGCGGCTGAGCGCGCCAGCCGTCCTGACGACGGCAGGTTGCTCGCCTCGCCTGCCGCCTGCCGCTCGGCGCCACGCGCACACGATCACGCCATTCTCAGATTTCCCACACATTCTCTTATTTTTGCCGGGATGGCGTAACCGTACCCCTCGCAACCGTTTCGCGAACCTGGAGGCAAAACAGCGTGCACTGCCCGGGAATCGAACCCGGGTCGCAAGAATGGGAATCTTGCATGATACCACTACACCAGCAGTGCGCACAGCGGCCGCGGTCGGTCCACTGAAAATATACTATACGAGGCATCAGACCCAAGAGTCTTGCGATAAGGCGGTGGCCATGGGGGCTCGTCCCGTTTCGTCTGCTGTGGCACCGAACCAACTTTCGCTTCCACCGTCTATATTCACTACCCTTTGTTCTGATGCCCACACGAAATGCACGAATCATGAATAGAGTTATCACAAGGTATTCCCTGGATTGAAATGCCTCGGGAAATGTCCAAACATAGACACGCCCGCATAAGCTAGAAACATTCTGCTTGTGACGTCACGGCAGCATCAGAATGCATGCTCAGCTGTGCAAGCAGTAACCGAACAGAGGGTTCCGGAGGAAGATGTACACTGTGTCCAAGGGTCCAAGTAAAATTGTCGCGAAGACAAGGAGAGGTAAGGAAAGAAGGAAACCCTTCCCATTAAACACCTAGCATGATTGATTTGATAGTGTAAACTTGCGTTACAAACCAAGAAATCTTCTCTGCAGGTATCTCACAAAACCTTGAGAGGTTGGATACCCTCCGCGACGCTAGAAAACCAACAGATTCCAAAGAAGACCAGGATTATGTTGTGAAGTGAGTGTTGTTTTCGCTAAGTTTTCTTGCTTAAATTAATAAAGTGTACTTTCGAGGGTGTCATTAATTCTGAAAAGGGGTCTTGTTGAACCTTATGCAATTATGGCATTTCAGATTTCTACTGTCTGTGAAAGCTTTCATTATTTGTGCTTTTAACACCTTGTAAATCGAAAGTATTTTAGAATTGTAGTTGCTTGCGTTGTATTATCCTACAATTTCCCCGTACAACAGTCAGTAATGTGGAACGGAGAGGCGGTCATAACCTAACTGTTCAAAACGTGAAGTTCTGATATCTTTACCCGTCACCTTTAAATGTTGTGTCGCAAGCACATTTGAAATTATATTTCCAATGTCTCACTTAATGTGCTTTTCAAATTGACAACCCATCAATCTTAATAAAATCATTAAAATATATCTATCTATATATTTTGCATTTATTTATTATTTATTTTTTGCAGCACTCCAAAACCAGTTTTCCACACATCAAATGGCAAGAAGTTTAATCATAATAGATACCACCAAGAAATTAGTCCACAACATGAAGAAATAATCAAATTTATATACGACTGTAAGTATTGCATCATCCTCTTCGTTCACTACCTCAACGAGAATAAAACAATTTATTGACAGTAATCTACCTTTCCCCCTCTCTCTCTCTTTCTGTGAATTATAGCTTGGACTACAGTTTGTAGAGAGTGTGACCTTGAACCTCAGGAAGATGGCCAAAGTGAGTATTATTTCAACATCAAAATAATTAATCTGATTGTTACTTCAATTAATTTCCCCAATCTATTTCATTTAGGTCCTCAACCACCATCACCTGTTTATTATGACGGCGAGCCCAATGGATCACTTAATGGTTTGTTGAACTGGTTTGTATGATAGCTAAAATAAAATATCATTTGCATCGTCTATATACACCTATTACCCTTTTCAGATTTCAAGCCATTTGACCTGGAATCATGGTGGGGAAAACGATTATTCAATAACATCACAAAATCTATCCCTTGAGCTTGTCTGGAAGCTGAAGTACTCTGTTAGTACCATGGCTCCCATCATAGTGCCTGGAGTATTCCTAAGTCTGCAATGCAACAGTGATCCTCAAAAGGCAAAGTAAGATGAGTATTGTGGACCAATTTTTTTTTTCTCAACAATCATTGGCTTCCAGACAAAAGGCCTTATAGATTCCTTTCATGATGGAGGACTTATATTGAATGTTGGTTGGTTACTTAGCATGATTGTGGGTATCATGTCCAATGATATCTCTGGCAATTTCTGGCATATTCCATCTTTCAAAATTTGTGGAAACTATTTCTAAAGCTGCACAATCTCCATTTAAGTTAAATCTCATCTTTAAGAAGTCATGATGTATCTACAGGATGTGCCTGGGAAAGCTGGTCATGTCGTGGAAATGTACCTGATTAGTGAACGTATTAGGAAAGTCTCATATTGTAAAGAAGCAAACTAGCAAGATGATCTGCATGTTTGTTGTTTCCTATTGTGTTCTGTTTTTGTTTCTGTGACTCTTTTATATCAATTACAGAAACAAAAGTGGGCCTGTAATAGTAATAGGTTGATGATTGGATGGATGTCAAAGGTTTCTTATTGGGAACCTCTTGGTTCCACCTCGTCCCTAGCAGTAGTCAGAATATTTGTAGTCAGAGTCCTTGCCCTTCCAAGTTTTGGTATTTTATGTAAGAGGCAAATAGACACTTCAAATTTTAAAAAAAATAATCAAAAAACAATACAGTTAGTTTGGAAATAATTTGATTTTCTCTTTCCACTGACTTTTTTTTCTCTCTTTGTAAAAATGGTAAAGCCAGTCATACGAATAGGTGTATCCATCTTCTGCACTCTCAATATTTTGTCTGCTTCATGCTAATGAAGTTTTGACAAATTTGAAGGTTGGTAGATTTTCTGTTTATCATTTCATTAATATTATCATAATCTACACCAACTATGTCTTGAATATAGAGGATTGCTTATTGGTGTGCTTGTATCCACCCAATCCTTACAGTTGTTTAAAGACCACAGTTAGATGCTTTCTACAACTGAAGGTTGACACTTAGGTCCAAAGTGGTTCACTTCAAAAGCGAGAACAATTTTTGACAAAAGCTGTTACAGCATATTTCTACCAGTTATTTTGTTTGTATGTTTTAAATCCTTTAAAACTCACTGTTGAATTATGTCCGTTAAGTTATAATGTAATAGGTTTTGCTACATTGTTATGTTTTCTAATTTTGTAGTAGTTGAATGTTTTTTAGAAGATTCTGAAAAATTTATTATGTATTTCATTTTTATCCATTATTTTCTCTGATTGTACCCGTACAATGTATTTCACAATGGCCTTTAAGAGGAGAAATGGTTCAAACATCATCATCATTTTTAATATGTAAAAGTCCATTTAATCTCGAATGTACTCATTTCAATTTATCAAAGAAGGGGAAACAAGATTTTAATTTCAAAAGCAATAACTATAGTTAAGTTTATCTTATAGTGGAATGCTATCAGCATTATGATTCTATTTCCTTGGGAGGTAAACTTCGATTGGTTGTTTGTGAATGTGATCATTCTTTGTGTTAGTATATTTTTATATTTCGTTCTTTGGAATGTAGGCTTAAATCTATCTAATAATACTACACTAAGACCCTCATAATTATTAGCAGTGATGATGGTGTTTGTATTATGGATTAGGTTTGTAAGTTGCGCTCAATGAGGAACCATTTTTTTTTGCAAAACAAGCATTAAAGGTCAGAAAATACATACTGTAATTTTTCTATTGAATTCAGTATGATTAACAACTTACATTATTTTGTTAGTGTCCAAAATAATTGCAGCTACAACTCTCATTGTGCTCTTTGTACCTAATATAATTTAGTGATACATCTGCGGAAACTTTGTTATTATGAACTATCTTCCCTTATCGTCTCTTTACCCATAAGTACTGTGTTCACGGTACTCAATGATGATCTATTGTTGAGATAATCAAAGTGTTGATAGTCAGATGGATATCTCTTTTAACCATGCCTGATGTATAATTGGGTAAAAATGACTGGCTAGTCTGTAATGTTGTTGAATGTTAATGTACCTTTGACGTGATGTCACTTGTGCTAGTGAATATTTGTTACAGAAATTTGTTGAAGGAAAAAAAAACAAACAGAAAAGAAATGATTAATACGATTTATCATAAACTGTGTATTTGTTTCATCCTTTCGTTGAAAAATACACTTCCATTTTCATCTTTAAAAACTGTGGTTGAGAACCAACAACCACAATAAAATGCCGCCAAATAGCGTTGGAACTCCCTGCCTCGTCGACCCGAGTCGAGCCCGCCGCCAGTCCAAAGGGCCCAAGCGCAAAGCCCAAACAGAACGAAGGCTGCAACCCTGCAACCTCTGCTGATGCACCGCCGCGTATTAACCAGTCAATCATAGCTCACGTTCATGGTTGCCGCGCAACGCTCACGGACAGCTGATTCTGCGCTCAACTCTCAGTAAAACCATGTCGTCTGTGTCAAAGACGCCGTCTAAGGCAGCCGTGACGGCGACGGGGAAGCTCTCCGTGACAAGCGTACGTAGTCGTACGGGGCTTTTCGTAGTTATGGTAGAGAGCCTATCTGAGAGACTTACACGGTACGGTCGGAGCGCAAACACAGGTCCCCAGCCAGCATCGTTACCTCACCTCCGCATCGGCGAGGTCTTCGGTCCTCGGCCTGGGCCTCAGCCGGACCAGCCGGACCAGCGTCCGGCAGACCATCCCCGCGCACGCTCAGCCTGTGGCCGACGGTGACCTCTACCTCATCAGCTCTGTGTACGAGAAAGTTCATACAATTAGACAAGTTCCAGGTTTTGAGCGCTCATTCCAACCTTTTCTTTCTATGCATAACAACGACACCTCATCGTAAACCCGTTCCCGTTTCGTCTGACCTCTGACCACAGCAACGCCAAGGGTGCCCTGAGCCTGGCGTACACCAAAGACAACAAGATGCTCACTGTGGGCGAGACGAGTGGGTCCATCCGGGTGTTCAGGACGGGCAGAGCAGAGGAGATGTGCTGCCTGACCCTGCAGCTGGCCGCGAAGAGCAGAAAGAGCCCCCCGGCCCGGGCGTCGGCGGCGGGGAAGGCCGTCGCGGTGACCTGCCTCCGGCCGTGGCAGGCGGAGCCCTCGCGCCCCACCGTGCTGGCCTCCTGTGAGTGCGACCGCCCCCTGGCCGGCCCGTCTAGAGGCCACCAGGAGTCACGCCCTCACCCGTGCACTCCCACCTGCAGATGCCGACGGTAACGTCCGGCTGTGGGACATTAAGTACGGCACCGTCCTGCAGAGCGCCTCCGAGGACCGACAGAGCCTGGGCCTGGCCGTGGCGCCGGACCTCGGCCACTTCGTGTCTCTGGGGGACGACGGGTCTGTGTTCCTCTACGATGCCAGCACCTGGCAGCTCGTCGCCAAAATGACGCACAGGTGCGGTGCTGTCGCCCGCGGACGGATAGCTGGCGTTAGCCGCACTGTGCATCCTCACCTGACACATTGACTCGAGACAGTGGCTTTAGCGACACCGTCGATGGACACAAAAGCCGCGTGTTTTCCGGAGTCTTCCACCCCAACGACCCCAATGGGGTGGTGACGGGTGGTTGGGATGACGTACTCCAATTTTGGGACGCTCGCGTTCAAAACTCCGTTCGTCACGTCGGAGGGCCTCATATTGGCGGCTCCGAGTCATTGGACATCTCTCCGGATGGGAGCGAGGTATGGTTTGGGGAAATAGGTGATCTGCGCTGTACGCTGTACTGCATACCTAGGCAGACTTGTCACTTCCCTACTTCCCTTGTCTAAGTTCCCTCTTCCCCGCGGTAAGGTGATGTCATGCTCCTGGAGAAACAACGACCAGCTGCAGATCTGGGACTACGGATCGGCACAGCTGATAGAAACGATTAATCCTGACAACATGCAGTCTTACGTAAAGTACACTGACTGACCATGATAGTAGGACTTAAGGGAGAACTTAGGTCCTACTATCATGGACTGACCATGAAAAATGTTGCATCCTATCTCTGGCTGGACGCTTTTGATGCTGCAAATTAGGGATCATCCAGAGAGTACGTACGGTATTGCGTCGTCACGAACCTGCTACGGTGAGCCTCTGCAAGCTCTCATACCGCCTGCTAGGTAGGCAGGATATTGCGTGAAGTGCATGCGTGTATTGCGGATTGGCCTACCCAGAGTCTCGCAGGCGTTCAGCCCCTGTAATTTGCCGAATGAATCTGAGAGAAACAAACGTAGTTTCTGGACGATCCCTAAGGCACGCGAGCGCTCTCCTGGTCATACTGCACCGCCGCCGCGCAGGCGTGGGTTGCCTACACGCGCGGAGCCCGCCATGAGAACACAGGCGAGCGCGAGAGCTGTTGGACAGCAGCTCACCCACAATGAACGTTCCCCGAGGTATGGAGCGAGGGAACGTTGGGTGCCGAACGTCGCATTGCCTGAACTCCGAGCCGGAGCCCCTGAACTTGATGTGCGGGGCGGGCGCGGGCCGCCGCCGTCTCCACACAGCTGCTTGACGGGTTGGCCTACCCATCGCGTCGCAGGCGCTATCGTTCGGGAAACGTTCATTTTGGGGGGAATCATTCATTGTGTCCTGCATGCGGTAGTTGCCTCTGTTCGCACCAATACCTGCTGACCAAATTGTATTGCTTCTGCTTGTCAGCACTTCCGGTAACTTAACAAAATCCATTGTTTCTTGCAAACTGTCTTGCATCTTTACTTTCAGCATCAACGGCAATTAATTCCCTTTACTGATGCAGCTTTATGCGGGCCGCTATCTGTCGGACAACCTACTTTGTTGTGGTGGATCATCTGCAAATTTGCTTCGATTAGTTCACAAAGCACAAAAAGTGGTATGTTTCACAACTACATTATGGGGCAATTCCTAATAAAGAACAAAAATGGGAAGCTCCACCAAGAATATCTGTTATTGATGTTCCTGTCTTTCAATATCATAAAGTCCTCCAGAGTACTTCATTTTCCTCTTAATTAATACTGTTTGTTTCTCTTTACTCTCCAGACAACAGGCACCATCACAGGCCTTGCTCATGGAATATACAGTGTAGCACTCGGCCCCGTGGGGGCGAAGTATGTGCCAAACGCATCCCTTAATGGTGGTAGAAATATGCTATCACATAGCAAAGATAAATTCCCGAGAATGGCTGTCTGTTCAGATAGCAAAGTGGTTGAGTTAGAAGTGTACTAGATGGAAAAAGTTGGGAGCCCCTTCCCCTTTCCTCTTTTAAGAAGCATACCCTTTATTTTAGATTTCACACTTATCAGTAAGGCGGAATCGACAGAATATACCTATTGAACTTGAGCCAAAAATTGAATCTTTTTCCTTTTTTAAATCAGTTGAACTTGATGGGTTTGATGCGGTAACATCTTATCTCACCCCTTCTGTCAAACTTTCATGCGGCCCAGGGAAATACTGATGAGTTAGTTACTACACCCATTTTTCTTGAACCGAACCGCCTAAGTGGTTGGCAACCCTTGAATTTTGTTCCAATTGGCAGTAAACGGAAAGTAAATCTAGTGTCAAAATATTAGGACACATTAAATTCAATTAAATTTTATTTGATCACGGAGACTAACAGTAATAATAAAAACAACACACAAGAAGCAAATAAACAATGTAAGTTACAATATTCCATACAATCTATTATGGTACAAAATACTTAAAGGACAACAGATCTTAAATTTACTCGGCACACTTTTACACACTTAAGCGGCTTTGAGAGCGCTGTACCATCAATTACAAACTATGGATCTCATATTCATAGGGAACTGACTATTGTCACAGAAGAGAAAGAAATGACCTTTCCATTACTGATAAGAAAAAGACTTACATTTGCTGAGAACAGAGGGCTCTAAGAAAATTTATCACATATTTCCTATTCTTTTTTGTTTGGGCACTGATATCAGAAACTTGAAGCATATTTTGGTTGGATTCTTGCTTCAGATTAGTAAGTAAAGTTACATTGTTACTCAATTATAAATTTTATACATTTATTTTCAATGAAAAAGAAATCAGTTTCAAAAATAATTTTAATTTTCTGTGAGAAGACTTAATTTGAAGACAGAAACTTTCTGTAGAAATATGAACTTACGATATGCAAGTGGGTAAGAAAACACATGACAGGACAAGAATCGCACAGCTGGACTAGAAATTCAGCAAGATTTTTGCTAAGAGCACTCATTTAGCCAATCACTCAAGACCATGTAAGACACACACACAGGCATACACATGGGTAGAACTCTCATTCTCATACTATCTCAGGTACGCATACCCTTTTCAGCCCACAATATGACTTACTAAGAGAAGAATCAAAACATTTAATTTCACATTGGGTTCTACCATATTTTACTGAAATAGGTTTTCTTTTGTCTGGGATTTTTCATGTCTATAGGAGTACTTAGATTAGTAAAATAATAAAGACCTGATTCTGAACACTTACAATAAAAATAACACAAAACTTTAAGGAAAATTTCTGAAGCCAATAGACTAATAGCACAGGATGAACACATAATTTGAACATAATTGTGGCAGATGTATAATAGAACAAGACATAGAAAAGATAAATGACAACAGTAAAATTAAAGCCAATTGCCAGACAATTTTTTTAAACAATTCACTTAGTCCTTTATATATAGCATAGCAGTTGAGTTTATCGTGTTACCAAAGAAAATAGTATTTTCTCAGAAGACAAGGGTCAAATGATATCAGAATGATTTATTCAGTCTATAACATTAAGTCAGTAAAATCCTTAAATAAAACAATGACAGAGGGTTTATTGTCGAAAGTCATGGGCAGGAAAAATATCTATGAGCAAAGTAAAGCAAAACTTAGATTTCTGGTTCCCTTAGCTAAGAACTATAATTTCAGTCAAACAAAACTACTTCTGTGAAATAAGCATTGAGAAAGGGAAAGTTAAATGAAGTAAAATCAATAGCCAAACCATAAGACTGGGTTCACGACGAAGAGAGATACAATCAGACTCAAAATTCTCATGTCATTATAATGGAAAACCCTCACAAAGTAATGAGTTTTACAATGGCTGGGAGCACCAGTGAGTAATTCCTCCCTAAACCATGTCTCAGAACTGGGCCAAAGAGGGGGAGGATTATTTAGAAGATAATACACAATGGTGCTCCACATGCAATGTTGCAAGTCATCAGAAATACATTTACAGGCAACCCTCTATAATCATCTTTCAACTACGCAAATAACAGACTTACAAAGATCTATCATGATAATGATTATAAACCATAAGACGGCATTTAATAAAAACTAGACGGACCACAGTCACTGGCCTCAAAAAGTATTCAAAACACTAACAAGGATTACACAATTAAGCTGGAAACATATTTCTGCTTGCAAGCGTTTTGTGCACAAAATGAGTTCAGGTTTCACTAAAAAGCACAGAAATAATTATCTGTTTGAGGTAATGACCTTCAATACAATTTATAAAAAAATATTTTATTGGTGACTGTGATGCCAATGGGCCACTCAACCCAAGAATATTCAAATCACATAGCATATAAATACATAACTAGAGTACACAATAACACAGAAACAAAAGATATCACAATGTTTGCAGGGCCCTCTATCATTTCAGTGGTACGCTCATGCTTCCACTTGGATCTCTATTCCCCCAGATTGGAAAATACACAAACTAAAGTACCTGGTACTGCAACAAAATGATACAGATAAAAATCACAGGAGAGAGAAATCTTCAGCAAATATACTCCAGTATACTTCATAAGGTTTGAAAGCAAAGTGGAAATATGTCAGCTGGGTTTACCATATTCATACTTCCAGGGGAACTAGAGTTTGGTGCAGAGTAATGCTATTAAATAACAGGTTACTTCTAATGGCACAAGTGATTTAGAAAAAGAGATCAGTACCTTGGTAAGCATTAAATAAGAATCATTTAAAATGTCTACAAATGTCAATGCTGATTTTTCTGCTCATCAAGAAATGATGAGACACACAGCACTACTCTGCTCTGCATGAGTGCATCACAATAGGAACTGCACTTGTTCACAAGCAGTACATCACAACACGTTGCAATAAACACTATTTATTCCACTTAGCCAGAGCCAGGAGCACACTTGGCACAGGTGGGAGTAAGATTGTTTACTTTAGCCAAAAGTCAATATAAGAATAAAAAAAATTTTGAAGCAAAATTATTGAGTATGAAATTTGTAGTTAAGTGAACATGTAGTTTGCAGCTTGTGAGTGTCAGCCCTTCAGAAAAGGTAAGAGAACAAGTCATGGGCTAGCATTAACATACGACAATCCCATCACATAGTATTGTACACAGGATATGTGTGTCGAGGAACCTTGCTCATCGGTGTTAGCCTTGCGAGAGGGTGGGTCTTTCCTTGTTGCTGTTTTTTGTTGTTTGCAACAGCCATAACACTTGCTACAACTACACTTGAGCTAGGAATATTAGATATGGCTTTGTTAGGTGTAGGGCAGCCAACTCGTAACCCTCCTCCAGCCCTAACTCCATTTCTTAAATTTAAATGATTAACTAACAATGAATTATGTCGCACTGATGTAGCATTATTTTGTACGTCAAAGCTTGACTTGCGAGGAGGAATAGGTGGTTGTGATGTTTTACAGGGAAGTTCATTTTCGGACACAATTCTAGTCCTTTTCACTGGGGCTGGTCCTAAGACCTTGCCAACTTCATATTTTCCTACAAGTACTTTGACAGAAAGGTCTTCTGCTGATGATGCTGGGCTGTGAAGAGGGCTGGTGGTGGCAGGATGAGACTCTCTATCAGGATGAATACTAACGGGTGATGATGGAAGACTACGTACTTTCTCTGATGGTGCTGCACTGTCTTTTGTCACTGGAACAACAACTGCTCCTGACTTGGCTTCAAACTCTTTCTTGAGATTCTTTACTTTTCCAGGGAGTTCTGTCACAGTTTCACTCTTTGGGGTAAATCTCATTCCAGCAACTAAACAAGATGTTGCAGCTGGTGCACTAACAGAGAGGCAAGATGTGATGTTAGGCTGGGACACTGCTATTTTATCAGTGGGTGGGGATCCTAGCATGTTTAGGACATCATCTTCACTTGCAACATGAGAAGACAATGTTGGAGAGCTAGCATAATGCACAATTTTGGTGTCTTGAGAAGGTTTTGAACTTGCACGGTAGGGGCGGGGAGTGTGCAGCAGTAGTGAAGCAGATGTAGTTGTAGACAATGTAGACAGACTTGTATCATTATCTTCTTTCCCCTCCTCAATTTTATGTCGAGTGCGTCTGACGGTTCCAGGATGCCATGTTGCATCGTCTTTGTCAATAAGAGAAGCGGCAGGCCGAATGTCATAAGAGCCCCATGAACTATTGCGAGAGGGCAGAGTGCCCCATCTGGTATCACCAGAGCCCCACGAACTTTGTCTGGATGGTGCTTCTCGTAGAACTACAGCACTATCATATGAACTCCAGGAGCTTTGTCTGGAAGGACAATCTCGATTTATAGAACCTTCCGGAATACCTTCTATGATTGTAGATGAAATAGGCACCTTACGTTTCTGTTCCTCTCTGTCAAAAACCAAATCAAGCTGGTTTGAGAAAGGATCATCAGGTTTCTTTGAATTAGAAGTCCTTTCTGATGAACTATCTTCACTCATTTTTTCAGTTATTACCTCTTGAGTTGATGATTTCAGGTGCTCTTCAGGCTTGCATTCTGAGTTGTCAACAATTGCAACAGGTACAGCTTCTCCAGAATCTAGATCACTTTGAACAGAAAAATTTAGGCCAAGGCCAGTTCTAGCAGCTGTTTCCAGTTGTGTCACTCTTTGTTTGACGAGGGGTGCAGGACTAGATGATCCTGAAGCAGGACTTGAACCTGGGAGATGAACAACTTTGTTTTGGGATACACTATACATAAGACCATTACCACAAGGCATCCTAACATTGCCATTGTAATTTCTTGTCACAACAGGCTCCCCTAAAGTTCGTTGTGCTTCATTTGCAGAAGTGTTTGTTGAGGTTGTACAAGACTGTTCGCCAAGAACCTCTTTGTCAGAAGAGTTGGTAGCATTCCCATCGGAGTTGAGATACTCTAAAGAAACTGATGTTGGTCCTGGAAATTAGTGAAGGAAATGTTAGGTTGAATAAGATCAATCAGATGGGAACAAAAAAGAAAACTAAAGGAATACAAACCAGCAGGATGTCGTGGGCTAAAGAGAGTTGAGACTAGTGTATTATCAGGGGACCAAGACTTTGGCCTTCCTCCAGAAATAGCAAGTTCCTTTCCTGACGGTTCTGAGCCCAAACCTGGCACAGGGATAGGTTCTGATAGCATAGGGGGAGTTGTTCCAATGTTGATTGCAGTAGGTTCACAGGAACTCATGGTGACAGCAGCAGATGGTCCACTTCTACGCATTTGGTTTGTCGGTCCAGAAGAAGTGGCCTCTGCTTTAGCCACAAGGCCAGGTGATTTCAAGTTTGTTTCTGACTTTGACCTTTGAAGTTTTTCTTTATTCTTCATTGCATCTAAAATACCCTAAAAACAAAATAATACAAACAAAGAAAAAGAGATGAATAAACAAAAACTTGATAGATTATTTCCTAAATGTGAGAATTTATTACCTGGTAAGTTTCTAATTGTGATACAAAACTGGTATTAGGTTTAATACAAGTCCTTTTTTGGCGAACAAACTCAAAGGCTCTTTTAAAATCCCAATTGTAAGCCTTCATTGCATACGCAATGACAACAGATGCTGATCTGCTCACTCCCATTTTACAGTGGACTAGAACTTTGGAGTTTTCTTCCCTAAAAATAAGAAGGAAAAAAAATAAAAATTAATGCAACTATTGGCACACTGTGTTATGACAATGTACAATGATACTTACCTGGCTCTTGTAATATATTTGAACGTATTATCCCAGTGTTTAAGCAAATCAGTTTTCTCATCATCCAAAACTCTCACATTTAAGTAATCAAATATACCGGGGAAAAAGTTATCAATTTCTCTAGTGACATTGAGTATGTGGCGTACACTAGAAAGATTACATGTGAACTATTAGAACACTAACTAAAAAAAAATAAAAAGATGAATCAAGGAATTACCCATTTTTCTGTAGCTCTTCTAAATTTGATGCATTCCATTCAGAGCCCAAATAAACATGATCAAAGATTTCTGTAGCAGCATCCATTTGGCCTAAAATTATAAGCATTTCTTGGTCAATGAAAGATTTGTATTCTGTGAGATCCATGTCAAGCTGATCTTCTAGGCGGCTTCGGATATGCTTTGATGTCACTTCATCCAAATCAACAGACATCATAATTTCTTTAAGTGTGCAACGAATTACTCTCTCAGTTTCTTCTCTTTCTCTAGGCCTAAAACAGAGGAAGGAAATATTAGGGCTGGTACACCATTCAACTACTGAAGAAAATGTTTTGCATAACACTCACTTGCTGCGAACTGAATCTGGACTCGGCGGTCTTCTAGACTCAATGTTGTCCATTGCATGCCATTCATTTAAGCAAGAACGGTCACTTTCTATTCGATTTTCATAGTATTCTACCCAGTCATGAGTCATTCCTCCCAGAAAGAAATTACGCTCTCTTGCCTTGGAGCTAACTTTATAAAGTGTTTGCAAAGCAGACCTGAAATGTTAAGGAAAGGAATATTAAACCATACAATAATTATGTGGGATTGAAACAGAAAAGCTACTTCATAAAATTATTGAACACTAACCACATTGCCTGCACAGATACAGGCTTGAATATATGCTGACGTCCGCAAACGCTCACACAGAATCCACTAAAACATACAGTTCAAAGTTGTTAAAAACTTGTTGTTTTACATATTATAACAAAAACAAACATAATCGCAGATAAACCGTACCCATCGCCGTCGAGGGTGATGGCAGTATCGGCGAGGACGCGGAGCACCAGTCCAACGGTGGACGCCGTAGATGCGATCGGCGCATTTGGCGAGCTGGGCGTTCCCCCTGGCGTCCCGCTGCTGGGTGTTCCGCTGGGTGTGCCGCCGGGCGTTCCGCTGCAGTCGATGCCCAGTAGGCAGGACTCCTCGTGGTGTGTGCGGCCCTCCCGGGACACGACCACCAGGTACCGCGTGCGGCCCGCGTGCGCGCTCTCCAGCTTCACCGCCTGTCGAAACCAAATACAAAATGTTAAGAGCAAGAATGTTTTTTAAAAACAAGGTAGACGCACGTTAAAACCGTGTGAAGCTGAGCTAAATGTGCGTCTACCTTGGCCTGCGGCGCGCTAAAATTAAAA